ACATGAAAGTGGACAACACCTGAGCCTCAGGTATGGTGAATGCCCTGTTAGCAAGAGTTTGGCATCCAGCTCACATCTCCTTAGAGTGGATGGAGGAGGGTGGGCAGGTGAGTGCTGGCAGGTGGACAGAGGCCCGGGGATGGCAGTCAGCAGCCTGGCAAAGGCAACCCTGAGCCTGCAGGGCTACTTCCAGGCCTGCTCCCAGAAGCCTCTGCTTCTGGGCCTACTGTCTATTCACTTCTCCTAGAACAGTGGTCGGCAAACCACGGCTCTCGAGCCACATGCGGCTCTTTGGCCCCTTGAATGTGGCCATTCCACAAAATACCACGTGTGGGCATGCACATACAGTGCGAATTTGACCTAAAACTTTAAGTAAAGTTTATTAGGTTAATTTTAGGGAACGTTGTGGAGTGAAAGAAGATGTAGTGTCGAGGATTGAGAAAGGTATGTTGAGATGGTTTGGACATATGGAGAGGATGAACGAAAGGAGATAGATGAAACAAGTATACAAGATGAGTGTGGATGGGAGAGTTGGAAGGGGTTGACCTCAGCGAACGTACCTCAATCAGATTGAGGACGTTTTTAGCAAAGGCCAGCTTAGGAGTACCCTAATTAAGTTAATAACAATGCACCTACCTATATAGTTTAAGTTTTAAAAAATTGGCTCTCAAAAGAAATTTCAATTGTTGTACTGTTGATATTTGGCTCTGTTGACTAATGAGTTTGCCGACCACTGGCCTAGAACATCGCTTTATGGGGAACAGCCCACAAAATACTCCGGGGTTTTCACATCACCTCAAATGTTCTTCTGTATTAGAATCCCTTTTCCCTATTCGTTTTCCAGCTGCTAGAGCACAGATGCTAGTCCTTGACTTGGCCACCTGCCCTAGAAGGGCAGAAGGGTCAAACCCTCACCCGCTACTCCTGTTTATGGAGTTCTGTCTATGGAACAAGGAGCCTCTTGGACAGGGTGACATACTGCCTTTGAAAACTCAACTTCCATGGAGTAGTGAGTGTGTACTCCTTCAGAAAGCAGAGCACCACGTTTGGCTGATGACAGAGAGGTAGAGGCAGGTCCAGATGAGGAAGGCTTTCCACCGATTCCAGTGCCCAACTATGGCTGTTGGAAGTATCAGGAATGTGGCTGGTGAATGTCAGGAACATCTTTGGCAAGACCTTGCCACCTCTTCAAGACTGGGATTTTGTGATTTTATCTTATGTAACTCAAAAAGCACTTCAGATCTCACACACAGGTGGGTCATGTGCCTCACACAGCAGTGACATGCTGACAACTCTGAGGTCAAAGGGCTCGCCAGCCAGCACTTACTGGAGTACCTGGCCCCTTGGGGGCATCTGCTAAGCTGTCCTTGGGGACATTGCCTTCATCTCAAAACCAGCCTATCAGAGCTTTCCTGCCAAGGAACCTCAATTTCCACTTCTTTCTCCTACCAGAAGCAGTGCTGCATTCCTAGCTGCCCAGATTTAAAACTGTATTCCCCCGATCTTTGATTCCTGCTTTTATTTTTCCATATCCAGAAACCCAGTCCTAGGAAGTTATTCCTCAAAATGTCTCCATATTTCCAATATTCTGTTTCCACCTCAACTCTTGACCAGGCCTCATCACCTCGCAGCGTTGATACTACACTAGCCCTTAGCCTCCCATCCCTGTCCATTTCTCCCCCTGCACCACTCTATTCTACACACCATGCACTACTAATCATCCTCATCATCTTACAGTGTCCCCGTGTGTGTGCGTGTGTGTGTGTGTGTGTGTGTGCGTGTGTGTGTGTGTGAGAGAGAGAGAGAGAGAGAGAGAGAGAGAGAGAGAGAGAGAATGGCCCTCTCATGTGTGTAAGAGTGTGTGTGTGTGAAAGGGGGACTGTGGCCAGAACTCAGCTCAGCTTTAGTAGCTATTCTGGGAGGAGTAGGGAAGCATGACCAACATCACACAAGTACCAACGCTATCCAGAGATCTGTGGTCAGCAACCTAGGGCACCGCTGGAAGAATTGATTCAGTGGGGCTGACAGAGAACTGGAGAGAACAGAGCAAGCCAAGGTGGACAGAATCACAGATAGGGCAGACTCCATGACCACAACAGGAGGCATCCTGGGGAACCCACAAGGAACTAGGGGTCCCTGGGGCCTCCCCCATGGGCCAGAAGGGGATCCATACGGTCACGAGAGACAGAGGCTCTGTCAGAGTGACAAAAGGCTGTGCTGTATAAGCTGAATCATCTTATCCCAATTAATGAGACTTCCATATGCATGAAGAGGAAAAATTCACACCATGTGAGAAGTCACAGGGTGGACCACTGCTTCTTACCTCTGACTGGGGTTTAAAGATGGACTTTGGTAAACAGACTAAAGCACTTTATTGAAAACACTTTTTCTTTCTTTTAAAAAGTAATTATTTGGCAGCAAATACATCATTCTGTCCTCTGACTTTGTGTCTCAAATATCTGCAAATATGTGTTGCACAATGACCCTCTGGCAGGCCTGATGGCAGCATCACATCGTGTTGCCTTTCATGGAAGGAAAAAGGAAGGTTATGAAGACAGGATGGCAAGGTTTTCCTAACCCAGGATTTCAGTATCAACTCTGTGCCGGTTTAAGGTAAAAACCACAGGATCTCAAGGCAAACCTTTTAGGTACTGAGAACTCAACTCTTAGTCAAAAGAAAGCCCTAAGGGCCCCTGGCTCTCCCGCCTTAATTTTATTTGAACTGGGAGAAGCTCTGTGGCCCTATCGGCCAGTTTGTATGTTTAAGGAACTAAGGCTTCCTTCTCAAAACCTAGAAGTGTAGGTTAGGGCATCCTTTCTGCTTGCAGATTCCTCACCATCTAGATATGGGGTGATGGGGAGTGTCAGGGGACACTGGGTTGGGTTTGTAAATAAGAGGTGATCGTGTTAGAATTGCACGGAAAACAAACTTGGTGGCTGCTGGCGCTGTTGACTTTTGGCCACTGGCCTGAAACTGAGCACAGCCTGCAGGGTCATCGGATGTCACAATAAGTGAGCGTGGGCTGCGGGGCATCGGCCAGGGTCAGTCCATCCCCTTTCTAGCACCATGGCTGCGAGGCATAGGCTGCTCCGTGGCTCTATCTTCTCACCTTCACAGTGACCGGCCCAGTGTGAACACAGGAGCCAGAGACCACTATGGACCTTCCTTTGGGAAAATGACAGATGGAGCACTGATCTGGAGATGATGCCCTCAGTGAGGAAGCAAATGCCCAGCTCAGACAGAGGCCCCGAGAACAGACGCCCAGGGTCCCCACCACTGCGTGTGCTACCCAGCAAAGGGGGCTGGGACACAGAATTCCTACATTCTCATTCTTGAGGGCTTTTAATTTGATGGTTTCTCCATGGTATTTAGAAATGCAATAAGGAATTTTCCCACGTGTGCCTTTTGGTGGTTTGTTTTCCTTACAGATGATTCCAAATGAAAATGGACAGGATGCTGCTGCAGACCTTGGCTGAGTCTTCCCCCGTCTACTGAGCAGACAGATGCAGGCCTGAGGCCATTTCCTTTTGCTCATCTCCTCTTTTTCTTTTCCTCCCTGAGGTTTCTCCTCTCATCTTTTCCCATCCCCCACCCCCTTCTCTCCTCCGTGTCTTTCCTCTCAGTATCTCTTCTCCCTCCCATCCCTGGTGATCGGCTGAAAGGCTGAAACACTGCTACTTTTCCTACCATAAGCACGCTGGGTTTTATTTCCTGTTAGAAACAGGGCTGACCGTTGGTGTTTTATCACGACCATAATAAAGCTATAAAGATTTCTTAATTCAGCCATGACATATATCAAGAGTCCATTTTTATTGCAAAGCCTGCTCCCTCTCCCTAGCTTTTGGAATCCCGAGACCCTCCTCTGTCTAACCCTGATGCCCACTACGGTCACCGTGATCTCCTCCATGGTGCCCCACCCACCCTCGCCCCACAGCTGACCACACTCCAGCCTTGGTTCATTTGCACCTGCTCGGAGCTGGATCCCTTCTTCCTCCTTCTTCCAAGTCCCTCCTCCAACTAGACCCCTCATGGCCCCACCTGAGAACCAGAGAGGACGATGCCAGAGCCTCACCCAGCTGCCAGGACACGCAGTGACAGGATGGAGCTGCCTCCTTGGCCTCACACTCCCAGAGTATGGAGGGCATCATGGCCAAGACATGGCGAGGCAGACACATGCCAATATCCATGCAGGAAATCAGATAGACTCTCATAACTAAGCATTATTTCCCCAACTAAAAAATGGGAATAAAATCATTTACCTTTTAGGAGGTAATGTTTGCAAAGCATTTTTACCATGCCTGCTGCCTGGTAAATATTTAATGAATGTTGACTACTTTCATAGTGAATGGCGGAGTTGAAAGACAGTCTCAAATTCTTTCATCTATATATAGGAACATGCATACACATCGGTACAACCCATACATATGTGCTTAAGTATCTGAATGTATATGAATATGAAATACAGCAGGTAAGATTGATACTGTTTCTATGGTATAGTTTTTATTTTATTTTATTATATATTTTTTAATCCTCACCTGAGGATATGCTTAGAGAGGGAAGGAGGAGAGAGAGAAAGAGAAACATCCATTGGTTGACTTCTGTACATGCCCCAAACAGGGATCGAACCTGCAACCCATGCATCTGGCCTGACTGGGAATCAAACTGGCAACCCTTTGGTGCACAGGACAATGCTCAGCCAACTGAGCCACTCCAGCCAGGTGAGGGTATAGTTTTTAAATTAATCATTAAAAACAAGAGGCGCCAAAAGCATTTGATTAAATTTAAAAGAAGAAAACATAAAATGCATTAAAGAGTCATAAACTCTTGCCATTTGAGTGTATTTTTAAATCTATAAAATAGGAGTCCTCATTTGTATTGTGACAGGGCTAGAACCAAGCCAAAAAGGATTCCTTTCTGCAAAAGCATCTCAGACAGGGTAACAGAAAAAGGCAGATGATATTGAAACTGAATGACATGTTCAACCAGAACCTTCTCTTACCTTTGACCCGATGAGAGTGTACAGCCACTGAATGGTTTCATTGTGGTTTATTACTCCGTTCATCCCATCCACATACAACATAATCTGGCCCAGAGCTACAGAGGAAAGAAAAAGAAGCAAGGAGACATTATGGTTTTACGTGTAAATATAATTTTCAACGATCATAATGGCCGTGGAGATTTTCATACTTTAAGTACACAGTATGTTAGGAACCAAATTAGAAGAAAATGCCTGGGCTCTGAAAATAGCAAAATCTCATTTTAGAGAGAAAAGTGTGGATCACAGCAGAAGAAACAAGGGCTATTCCTGGCGCCTGGAAGATGCAATTAAGGTACCAAATGCAGTGATTGCTGTTTCTCTGCGTCTTGATATGTAAATGCGTGTTTTGACGTTTCTATATCTGTGTGCAGTAGACAGGCAGCAATAGCCATGAGATGGTGTCTGGGCTGTAGCTTCCTGGTGGGGCCTGAGGACTAATGAAGTTTCCACAGCAACCTGTCTAGTTGCCCCCAGAGGCTATGGAACATCCCCAGCTGAGGCCGTTTGAATCCTTTAGATAAGGGATACATATATGTATTTTAATATTATTTATAATTCCTTCTAAAGACTTGCAGAGTTTAAGATGTCAGAAATCATGAAAAATATCATTTTTCAAACACAAAGTCCTAAATTCTTAGTGGAGGAAAATAGTCACCACATATTGCCATTGTTAAAAAAGAAAATCCGAGCCATGGCATTTCCTTTTTCAAAAATACATGATCTCCATGTTTTCAGCTCCCTCATATCAAAATAGTTTGGACTCTAGATAATGAGCAGAAGTTACATACTCTAACTAAGTAGGCTCCCTGAAACCATATCTGACCTCCTAAATCTCATTTCACCCATAATGAATGGGCCTGGCATTGACATTGTTAGGCAATACTTTCTTTTCATGGTAACAGTAGGACATCACAAACTGGAAAACATGGAGGAGTGAAGTAAAAATAATTCATAATCCCATAATTTAGGTTAAGCATTCTTAATATGTTAATGCATTTTTCTTATATTCTTTCTTTGCTTTTCTTTTTTGTTAATCCTCACCCAAGGATATTTTTCCCATTGCTTTTTTAGAGAAAATGGAATGGAGGGAGGGAAGGAGAGAAGGAGAAGGAGAGAGAGAGAGAGAGAGAGAGAGAGAGAGAGAGAGAAACATTGATGTGAGAATGTGAGAGAGACACATGGATCGATTGCCTCTTGCACATGCCCAGGACAGGGCTGGGGATTGAACCTGCAACCCAGGGACATGCTCTTGACCACGAATCGAACCCAAGACCCTTCGATGTGCAGGCCAACACTCTAACCACTGAGCCACAGGGGCCAAGGCTCACATTCTTTCTTTTATGCATCACACACACATACAAGTTTATATGTAGGTTGTAGGAGAGTCTATATAAAATGGTGTTAGTTGAGAAAAGTAAAACACAAAATAGTGAGTATATAATAATTGCAAGCATACAAATATATGTGTGATATTAGAAAGCTATTATTATCCTACCCAACAAAAGATCAAATAACACAACCGCATAATCATTCTGGAAAAAATTATGCCCCTATATACGGAAAAACTCAAAACTTAAAAAAATTACTTAGATCCTTGACACAACAAACAGTGTAATTATTGTAATAACAGATTCATATTCTACTTAATGGTGAAACACTGAGCTGTTCCTATTAAAATCAGGAATCATTTTAAAATGATGCCTCCTAATCCCATAATCATTTAACACTGCTCTAGAGTTCAGGAAAATTTAATGACATGAAAAATAATGAGATGTAGGATGGTTGGAAATGAATACATAATTTTGTTATTTTTGCAAGAAATGTCATAGATTCAATAAAATATTCATCTACAGAATTTACAATGAAGAGGTCACGATTGCAGCCACTTTCTCATCTGAATGAGAAATATGTATGTCACATATAAAGAAAACCAGAGTTTGATATAAAAAGATAACAGTAGATAAAAGGACAGATGACAGCAAATATGATGAAGGTTTAAATGATGTATTATATATAGACACTTCATACAAATTGATAAGAAAATACTAAATGCCAACAGAAAAAAAGCCAAAAGCTTTTCATAAGAGACAACAAGCTGGTTCACATAATGTACAAAGAAGTTCATTCTCACTATAACAAAAATGCAAACTAAAACAATATTGAGGTAGCATTTTCACCGAAATGATCAAAGATATATTTAAAAGAAATGATTCGGTTATTCATTGCTGGTGAGGGTAAACAAGTAACTTCTTACATTACCGGTGGCAGGGCAAATTGGCACAAGTCCTGTAATATGACTATTTAGTGCTGTCATTGTTTTTTAAAATAGTTACTATATAATTTAGAGCCTGTTGTGTGCCATGCTATAAAGGGGGGTAATATGTGTTATTAATGCAACAGCTCTCCTGTGTAGTGGATATTATTACCCCCCCCCCGACAGAGGGAAAAACTCAGGCTCTGAAAAGTGAGGGAATGTGCCCCAAACCCACCACTACGGAGGGGTGGAGCCCACCCCCAGCCATAATGGTCTGGCTCCTCCTTGTTGGTACTTGGAGCCTGAAAGTCCTCTCTGCCCCCAACCCCCATCAATGTGATTTCGGGAATCTACCCTAAGGAAATAACCTTATGTTAAAGTGGGAAAAAAGATGAAGCAAACTCACTGAAGTGTCATCTATAATATCAAAATATCAATGAACACCTAAATACCCATCATAGCTATGGAACTCAGCATACAGTCATTTACCAAAGCTATGTCCTAACTGTAAAGTGTTTATAATAAAAGAATTAAAATGTAGAAAATTATGAATAAACATCACATAATTCAGGTAAGCACTAACACCTTCATGCCCAGAAGGAAAGGAAGCCCCATGATACATTAAGCATTATGACTGTGCATATGTTCTTTGGATGTGTTACTTTCCTATTTACCCACTTTTCCATTATGAGCATCTTTCACTTCTATAACAGAAAAGTAAACCTCCTCTATAGAAACGGGGACAAAATCAGACTGTAAAATGTTAGATGCTTTTCTTTTGGTTTTTAGAATTTTTTACTAGCAGTGTACCCCTTCCACCTCCACTTCAGGGAAGAGCTCTGAGAATTCAGTGCATCCTGCCCCACTTTCCCCTTCTCCCCTCTTGTTCCTCCTCTCCCTTCCAAAACAAGCTGGCGAAACTCCAGGGAAGGGGAATTTGCACCACAGTGCTTTTCCCATTTGAGTTCCACTGTTGAAGAAGATGGATGCTAGAAATATCTAGCATCACTTTGTGATATTTCTAGGGGAACACTTTGTAAAGTATGTGCTTGTCTAACCACTATGCAGTATACCTGAAGCTAATCCTATATAATAAAAGCCTAATATGCAAATTGACCAAATGGCAGAATGATCGGTCGCTATGACACACACTGACCACCAGAATGCAGGTGTTCAATGCAGGAGCTGCCCCCAGCCCGCAGACCCCAGGCCAGCCAAGGCAGGTGCCAGTGGGGGCCCCTTGATCGCCTTGCCAGTCACCCCGTAGAGGGAGGTGACTGGCACTGGTGGTGGGGGGTAGGGCCAGCAAGGCACCAGGCTGGCCAAGGTGGGTGCCAGCAGGGAGGGGAGGGGGGCTGATCACCCAGCTGGTTGCCCCACAGATTGGCCCTGATCACCGGCCAGGCCTTAGGGACCCTACCCATGCAGAATTTCGTGCACCAGGCCTCTGGTACAAAATATAATTGAAAAAAGTTTAATTAAAAAATTAAACAAAGAAGTAAATCTACAGGCAGGTTTTAGCATCTTCTAAATCTATCCAACAGCACAGGGGGAGATAATGCAGACTCTTGGGTCTCTGGAAGGTGCATCCCTTGGGCCCTCCCCCCAGGGCTGAAAAGGCAGGAATGAAGGTCTCCATCCTAACCTCTCAGGGCCTCTGGGGCTGCAGGCAGTCCATGAAGCCAGAACACTGCTCCAAAACAGGAAGGCAAAGCGAGATTTAAAGGCCAACTTGAATGTTTCTCTTTATGATCTGTTTCCCTCTCAGATTCTATTAACTGACCACATTGCAGAAGGGAAGTCACCAGAAAGTTCATGTCTAGTGGAGTTCAAGTTTCTAATCACACTGATTGGTGGTAATATTTGGGAAATCAAAAGCTTGCCCACTTAGATCTTTTGTTCCCCAGCCCTAGTGCTAAAACACTGCTTTCAGTAAAACCCACTACAGACACAAGATGGCGCTAAATAGATTCAAGTGGGTTAATACTGGGATTCAAGGACAGAAAGCCCGCCAGCCTCAATGTGGGCCTGTGAATAAAGCTCGCTCACACACACACACACACACACACACACGCAGAAAGCCCGCCAGCCTCAAAGTGGGCCTGTGAATAAAGCTCACACACACACACACACACACACACACACACACACACACAATTGTACACAGTGTGGGTCACAGGAGCCACGAATATTAGTGACTTGGGTTTCCAAGCAGGATGAGCAGGGTGAGAATGTCAGACTGAGTGGGTAACGGCGCGATCTCACAAGAGACTGCCCAGGGCATTTGTAGTTCTGTGGTTCACAGAAGTTACTCTAGGCATCTTTATTAATATTTCTGTGCTTTGCCGAAACCGGTTTGGCTCAGTAGACAGAGCGTCAGCCTGCGGACTGAAAGGTCCCAGGTTCGATTCCGGTCAAGGGCATGTACCTTGGTTGCGGGCACATCCCCAGTAGAAGATGTGCAAGAGGCTGCTGATCGATGTTTCTCTCTCATCGATGTTTCTAACTCTCTATCTCTCTCCCTTCCTCTCTGTAAAAAATCAATAAAATATATTTAAAAAAAAAATTTCTGTGCTTCAGTTTCTCATCTCCAAAGTGAGATAGTACCTATTTTTCAGGGGTGTTGTAGGATTAAGTTAGAACGATGCCTGCCTCAGAGTAACTGCTCAACAAATGTTAGTCATAGAAAATACCTCGTGGAAGTCAAACATCAATTATCTACAAAAGCACACGTTGAAAGAATCTCAAAGGCCTGAAGTGGGGGCGTGGGCCCTCTGCCTAACCCACAGTGACAAAACTTTT